TTGTACACTTTAAAATGGTGAATTTTATGGTATTTGAATTATATCTCAAGAAAAAAGAGTATAGAGTAAAAAGATTGTGTGTATATACACACACATATAGATACACGTATTTAAAAAAAAATTGTTGTCCAGTCGATTCCGACTCACAGCAACCCTATAGGACAGAGTAGAACTGCCCCATAGGGTTTCCAGGGAGTGCCTGGTAGATTCAAACTGTGGATCCTTTGGTTAGCAGCCAGAGGCAGTTACCCACTAGGCCACCAGGGTTTCCACTCCAAAAGGTTGCTGACACACAGACAAAGCAGAAAATATTCTTATAAAAGAAACTACCACTTTTTTAAAAAAACAACCTAAATTCAGGGATTGTCAACAAGACGGGAAAGCTGGCCAGCTCATCAGGGACTCTCAATCAGCTGGAGACACATGGCTGAGGGTGGGGGGGGAATGAGCTAACTCCTCCCACTCCTTGACAGACGAGAGAACACCAAGCTATTAAAAAAAAAACAAAACTGTAAGCTTGACTTCCTTCTAAGGCGTCCTGAGTCACTGGGTGCTCCAGCCCCCAGTGCCTGAGGAAGTTCAGCTCAAATCGGAAATGTGTGTGCGCGCATGCGCGTTTATTTCCGAAGCAGAGCTGCTGAAAAACCAGACGATGTTGTCACTTGGACTGAATCCCTCCCAGGCCCATTCCTATTTCCATCCTGGGATGAGGGTGGAAGTCACTTAATCATCTGTTTCTCTGACCCACGTTCCAGTATTACATCAGTCTTAACAGCAAGCTTAACCTCCACTCCACACCCAATATAGAGCTGCTGATACCTTAACTCCATTTGTCATCTCAAAGCACAGAGCACCCCTATGCTGTTTTGCCTCCCACTCTTTGCACTGCAATTTCCATCAATTTAAACAGAGTGATGCCAATCCAGCTTGCTCGGAATCCTGGGAAACCACAGGTAGAAGCTATTTTGTCTTATTTTACTGAGGAAATTGAGGCCCAGAGAGGGTAAGGAACCCACCAAGGCTATAGAGAGGCAGAACGAAAACCGGAAGCCAGGCCTAAGGTCTCAGAGGACTCTGTCCTTATGGTGGTGCCCACCTCCTTGTACTACAGTCCCAACTCCTGATACAGTAGGAGCTTTTTTAATAACCCCCAGAGATGCATCTCCAGGCATCTGGTCACAGTAGGCACTTAACCCTGTGATCATTCCCCTTCTTTTCAGCTTCTGTGCAGAGTGGGAAAGCAAATAGGTGGGGCAGTCTGGAAAAGATCCTTCTGGAAACAGGTGGCAGCAAGGAAGTGGCATTTCCTGCCAGAGGCCCTCATCTAGGAACTGGGTCTGGGGCCGGGCTGGTTAAGGGGAAGGTTTCAACTCCAAGGCCCTGAATAGATGTTGCCTCTCAACCCGTTTTCCTCAGCCGACTGGCTCTTGACATGGCAAGGGGATGTTCTCATGTAATTTAAAATGACCATCTTATTTAAAAAGTGTTATTTATTCCCACAACTCCTAGAGAGATTTGCATTAACAGAGGTCAGTGAGAAATGAATCCTTTTACGGTGTAAACTTTCTGCATAAAGCAAGCATGGATACATTAATAGCTCAAGAGATTGGGTTGAAATGTCAGCTATTAACACCATGATTCGGAACTGACTTGACGGCAATGGTTTGGGTTTTTTGTTTTGGGTTTATTAACACTCCTAACTGCTTACAACTAAGGTTGTCATGATGTGTCTGTGGTACTTCTGGCCTCTCCCTCTCACCTCTACACTACAGTCCAGGTAGAATTACATCCGAGGGCAGGTCCATCTTGTTCAGAGAGCAAAGGGGATGGAGAGCTAAGCAAGCTAAAAACCTACACAGTTCGCAGTTAGAGATGAAAGGCTGCAGAAATGTTTATTGAATACAGTGCCAGGTTTATAAATAAAACTTATTTACAATTTCCATAGAGTTGGTCCCCCATCAGAGAGGTGGTTAAATCTCCAAACAGTTCATCTCAAAATTTACAGAAACGTTCAAGTACATCTCCTTGTCAAATAGCCATGGTGAAGGGCAAGTTCCGTAACAAAAGAACGGCCACCATCTTCGCTACAGAGGAGTTTAATGAACAGTATCATCGATTTGGAGAAAGAACACACGCTCCACCCATGCCACTACCTTTCTTACTCCAAGGGCTACAGACAGCAAAGAATCTCTGTCTCCTACAACTTCAAGGGATAAAAAATAGAAACTGCCAGCTGAAAGGAGAGATTAAGACACATCAGTGGAATCTAGTCACTGCCAAAAGGGTAAATGTACTTAGAATATACAATCAATAATTCAAATATTTAAAGTAATTGAATGAAGAGTGGTTGTGACCAAATTTACATTCTGTGGTTAGGATGACGTTCCCGATATGCCGAAGGGTTAAGAATACACTTATTCCTCTGACGTGGACGCCGTAGCGCGAGGCCGACTGGACAGCCGTTCGTTACAATATTGGTACAAGTACAATCAGACATGCATTTATAAAGAGAATATAAAAATATGTACAAGAGCAAATTTTCAATGTGTTTAAGTTGCCAAAAGACACCAATTAGAAGTGTGCAAAAATTCGTTTTGTCAAAAAAAAATCAGAAAAAAAGGATTCCTTGGCAACAGGGCGTTGAAAGCCCATCTGAAATATCAAGATACATTTGCCTTGTCCAACGCCCACCCCAAACAGACGGAGAACAGAACTACGGAAGCATTTGCCAAGTACTCAGCGGGTTTTTTATGGGAAGTCTCAGGCTGAAGCGGGATGTCAGTTAACCTAGTCACTTTATATATATAAATATATGTATATATTTATAGAGCAGTTGGAAGTAGGGGCAAGAGTTTACAGGAGGGTAAGGAAGGCGCCAACCAATGTTAAGAGTACTGCCCCAACATCCAGCTATTTCCTCAAAAACCAATGGAGACTGCAAACACCCAACCCCAGGGCTGGCTGTCCCCCCAAATGCCAGGGGGAAAGGCTACCAGGGACTCCACCTCACCTCTGCAATGAACTGCAGCTCAGAGTTCCCTGGAGAAAGGTTTCTGGTTCCCAAACAGAATCCTGGCCATACAAGAATCTGGTTTCAAAGGTAGTCCTTAGGACAGGCTGTTGGACCATAAAATGGGGCCCCCACCCAGCTTCTAGAAAGAGCCTTGGTCAGAGTTAAGTTTTTTAAAGCAATCAATCCACCCCCCTCTTTAAAATTACTGAGAGGTCACTGAGCACAGGCCTAAACCTTGACACTGGATCAACAGCCCCCTACGAGAAACATCCAGGTCATGAACTCATTCAAACGCCTCCTGCGGACATCCTTGGAGCCCTCAGTCCTTCTATCTCACCAAAGGAAAGAGGAACACCAACGCAGTCTTAGGTGTTCCTTCAGATTCGGGGAAATATGAAGGCCAACCCTTGGTTCCCAGGATCAACCTCTCCCGACACCCGCCCAATCCAAGGACGAGTAGCAGAAGCAGATGGGCGGTGTCCCCTCTCCACTGCTCTGACCCACCCCTCTGGCAGAAAATCTAACGAAACTACAAAAAGCCAGAAAGACAGGGAGTAGGAGAGGGAGGAGCCAGGGGGCTCGATAAATCAGCTCTGAATGCACCCAGCTGGCTGCCAAGAGCTTCTCACTGCCTCCAAGCAGCCTGCCACCGTTCCCTGGCAAATTAAAACCACCCACACATACACACACAACCCAAATCTCCTTGCTAATAAGATACAACCAGTTAACAATCAGAAAAATGCACAGTCGGCCTTCTTTTCAAAAAAAAAAGCAACGTCTTTAAGGGGGCTTTTTCAATAGGCCAATCCCACTGCAAAGACCAGTACCGGGCATCTCTTAGTTTGGGTTTACAGGTTTATAATCAGACACAAAATTCACTCTGGGCTGCAATTCTTTCAAGCTGAGGACTAGCATTAGTTTACTTGAGAAAAACAAGCAAAGTCAACTCAGAAAAAAAAAGTTAAAGTATAATCATAAATTAAAAGCCATGGATCAAAAAGCGACTGACTGGTAGTGTCTTTCAGGCATGAAGAGACTGGTTGAGAAAAGTGACTACTGCTTCTACCACACACAGCAAGAACTGAATTACAGATGCACTAAATCATGTCTCTTGCACAGATGGTCTCAAGTAGTTACATGAAACAAGTAATCAGCAGCACGACTGAGAACCCCTAAAAATACACGCTTGAGAGAAAGCGTGTTTTTGTTTTCCCCCATCATAAGAGCTCTACTGCCTGAATAGGTCATTAGAAGTTACTATTATTTGCCACCCGACCCCAGTGAAAATGGAACTGGACCTACATGTCCGTAAATTGGATAAAGCAATCAGCATCTGCTTGGTTTTAGGCAAGGTCTTGGGCCCTTTGGTTGGTTCCTTTGGAGGGAGGGGAGCCCAATGCTGGGCGGTGGGCATTTAACTACACACTGGCCTCCCCCTTCCAACTGCCTTGTCCCCGTTTAGATCTCAGCTTTACAAAGCATTTAACACGACTTTAAGTTAATGGTCTTTTATTTGGAAAAAAAAAAAAAGACTAGCATTTACAACTCGGAATGGACGTAAATTGTAATTTCTTGAACAGCAATGTTGATGGTTGTGCTGAAGTCCACAGCCACAGCCTACTCTGCCGGCTCCAAGTCACAGTTCAGAAGGTTTTTAAAACAGAGAGTCCAAAGATGCTCCCTTGGGATCTTTTTTAAAAATTTGTGTAGACGGTGACAGACCGACACCCGTGTCACTCTAGCACAAGCAGACAGTAAACCAGCACACACAGGCAGGCATGCCACCAGGGTGTGTCACCGTCACCATAGGCCAGAGCACATGGAGTACACGAGGACCATTCTACCAGTGGGGCTACGTCTCACCAGCTTATCCCTCACCCATTTCTCTGCACATCATCCTGAGGTAAACCAATTTAAAATGTGTTTGTTTTCGGTCAACCAGCTATGACAATTTATACTAACAAACTGAACTAGAACCCATTGGAAAAGGTTTTGAATTTTTTTCGTTGTTCGTTTTTAATACAAATGCCTGACTGTGCTCAATCATCAAGCTGCATGCATGAAAAACTGGCCAGCCCAAACAGTGTATTAATCATTAGCAAATGGAAATTTAAGGAGTCCACTAAGTGCTTCCTTATCATTAAGGAATAGTACAAGTATTTATATTGTAAAACTGAGGTGTAGCTCGATCTTTAGGGGACACGACCACCAACCAATACATGCAGTTTTTTTTTTTGTGTGTGTGGACAGAAGATACTTTTGACATTCAGTTTTGCTATACAGAAACAGAATGAATAAATGAACTTTTTTTTTTTTTTTTTTGCAAGAGGTAAGTAAAAGATTCAATTTGATTCTTCTAGAGGAGGGGGAAAGGAGTTGAAAGTACGTCTTCATTTTGCAGTCATCATCTGTACGAATTCTGAAAAGACAAATAATCATATGTTTGGTTATCTTCAAAAGCAGCTTGAATGAACAAAACAGCTCTGCTCTGCAAAAAATATCATCAGGGAAAGTCTAGTGATGCGGTTTGCTTGTTTCTAGAGCCTGAAGGTAAGTCTCCTAAAAACTCAGCTCAAGAATGTAGCGTTTTACCTTCATAGTTGACTTGCCCATCGCCATCAATGTCTGCTTCTCTGATCATTTCATCTACTTCTTCATCTGTTAGTTTTTCTCCTAAGTTTGTCATGACGTGACGTAGTTCTGCTGCACTGATGTAACCATTGCCATCCTGTGAACAATCAGCAATTCCTCGGTTACTGAGAGTGGTTCAGTGCCAGCAAGTAGGTCTTTTACTTAATTACACCTGCTCAAGTAACTGCCAATTCTGCTCACGCCCCCAATTCTCTCATCTCCAGTTCCCTCCTCTGCCTACTAAACACATGTAGGCAGCTAACATAGAAAACGTGCAGGATACTCAAAAGCCAACAGAAATACTGACAATCAAGAGACATGGTTCAAAATTTCTCTACTGCTAAAGTTACCGACATTACGTCAGGATATCTGAAGGCGAGATTTCAGAAACTCAGGCAGTTAGGGTACATGTTCTGCCTATAACAGACTGTTAGAGCTTTTAGCACTGATAGTCAAAACAGCCGTGCTTACGTACTGTCTAACACAGATGCAGGATTACCTTGTCAAAGACTCGGAATGCCTCGCGGATTTCTTCTTCGCTGTCTGTGTCTTTCATTTTTCTAGCCATCATAGTCAAAAATTCTGGGAAGTCAATGGTGCCATTACCTCAAATTAAAAAATAAAAAGCTCATGTAAAATAAGCACTCTAGGAATGCTACTTTGAGTAAGAATTTTAGCACCGTGTGGGATGGTGAGCACTTCTTGGAGAAACTGGCAATTTGACAGTCCAAGAGAAAAGGCGTGCACAGCACTGCAGGCTGGACCTTTCCAGACAGAGTGAAGCACTGGTGGGCGCCCTCGCCTAAGTTAGAGCGCTCCCTTGGGTCTTACTCTGCTGTGGCTAATGAGGCTAACAGCCTAGAGGGCCTACAATTGGGCCGCAAGTTTACAAAACTGTTTCGGGGAGAAAAGAACTACAAGAGGGGAAAGTTGATTTTGTTATGCCATGGACCATAAAGTCTTCGAAACTTCTCCGGGGGGCATTTCTCAGTCACATTACAGTAAGTCACGTAATTGTTTTCTCCCCCAACTCGGTTCCTTTATTCTCCATTAAGGCCACGTGTTTTCACAGCGCAGACCACTAACACTCAGAAAAACTGTGTCAGAAGAACCTTCTACAGCCAGTATTCCATACAACTCCTTCTCTACAATCAAGAGTTAGAGGAAAATCTTAAAAAGATGAACCACTAGATCAACAGGGTAGCCTGAATTACATGGAAACAGAATAAGAAGAAACAAAGCCTTAGGTTAAATTACTCGTTTTCACCAGTACCTTAAAATTAGAACAACTTAGAGGCCCCCTCAAGTCCTTGTGGCCTCCAAAATGTTAAAGCATGATTACTACTAATGCAAGACAAAATAAATTACCTGAAGTGCTATCTTCAGCGATGCCCTTAGCTCCTAGTTTATCTATTCATTACATACACTGGATTCTGCAGCCTGGCACAACTCCCATTTGGTTCTACACAACCTGAGGGCCTGACACACCTCTCTAGTCTAGTCTATGCCAGTTTCCCAGGGTTTACATAAAACAGGAGGGGCAACCCATGTTCCCAGATCATGGATCACCTTAGCACTCAAACTAGAGAGAACTAGTCTCTTTTTCCAAAATAATATTAAGAATTAAAGAATGAAAATCTTTAGAAATAGCTCAAATGGGCTGAAACCTTTGCCAAAGAGCTTAATCAAAACCTTTGGGCTTCTGAATGTATGTGACCAGACAAATATATTTCTACTAAATCATCTTACGGCGTCACATATTCTTAAATGGCTACCATCAAGTCGGTTATCTAAAAAGTCAAGTCTAGATCCACAATGCTTAAGTTTTTTTAGCTTACCTTTTAAAAATTATGTTTTATAATGTTACATCTTATAATAGTACGTATATGATTTACAGATACACATGTGGTACTCAAAAACTGTTTACTGAAGGAAGTGAGCAAAAGGTCTGCCAAACGGGTGACTGATGCTATGGGGGGCTACTGCATGCTTATTCTGGCTCTGCACACCTTCCCCTTCTGCTCAGTGCTCTACGTCTATTCTCTACAGTCATCACACACACCAACTCCAAGCCTCGCATAAGCCTCAAAACAGCTTTGATAATACATCTGCAACTCACGCTGTACTCAGCTCTGTTACCTTCTAAGAGTGCTCTTCACCCACTTCACCTGGGATTTTTCCTCCTAAGAGACAATAAGCTTTTTAAAAAGTAGGTCCATGGCTACTTATTTTTACTTCCCCCAGAGGGCTCAGTGCAGACTCATGGGCCAGTTGATAAAGACTGAGCTGCACGTCACGGCAAGTAGAAAAGCACAATACGTGATCCAATCCAGGAAACGTTCTGGACAGTGAGCTGAGTGAAGGGCAGGCCCATAATCTTCTATTTTAATTGTCAATAGCCATAAGGCAACCACAGAAAAGATCTTTGCACGTTTGCTTTGCTCTAGGGACCTGAAAAACAATCCTGTAACACGTCTGAACTCGAATTACACAACACTGGCTCACATTCATAATTCTAAAGCCTTACCATCAGCATCCACTTCGTTGATCATATCCTGCAATTCAGCTTCTGTTGGGTTCTGACCCAGTGACCTCATGACAGTTCCAAGTTCCTTTGTTGTGATGGTGCCGTCACCATCTTTGTCGAATAGGGAGAAAGCTTCCTTGAATTCTGAAAACAAAAGTTTACCCTTTAAGATGAATGCCTTCACCCAGCACAGTCACAATATACGCTTCCCATGGGCTTGGCAAAGCAAGCTGTCCAAGCTGGGCAAATTATCAGAAACTGCTTGGTCTTTACAGCTACTGAAACAAAGAGCACCGGAGTCCTGTCAGACTGGCCTTCATAAAACAGCCCATAAAGCAAACACTATTCTTCATGACCAATTCCATAAAACCACTGGAAACCCGGGTGGCGTAGTGGTTAAGAGCTACGGCTGCTAACCAAAAGGTTGGAGTTTGAATCCACCAGGTGCTCCTTGGCAGCTCTATGGGGCAGTTCTACTCTGTCCTATAGGGTCCCATTTTTAAAAAAGGCTAATAAGCTCAAACATGATTAAATTAGTCCTAAGTCCAATCACACATGAAGACTGGTCCACATGTTCCCTAAAAGTCCTTTCCTGTTAAACTTCTGCAGCCATAAGAACTCACTGTTTCCTAGCAACATGAAAAGGTTACTCAAAATGTGCATTCCAGGTAACCTGCGTGTTCTCTCAACACAGTGTTAGAATATTTTAGAAGTATTTCTGGTTTCACAAAGAGAAACTTTCTCAAAACAAGCATTCCAAAGAACATTAAAAGTTAAAATCTAAACTAATGTAACCCCCTTCCCAGTTTTTACAATGGTCGTTTAACACTCATTCTCACCCATTTCCCTTAATTTTAGGATAGGAAGGACAACTTTTCATGGTGGGTTACTAAAAAAGCATAGCATAAGAATTTTACAGTAAATTTTCCAGTAAACAGGCACAAAGCTGTAATGAGTGGATATTCTTAGTTCCACTTCCTTCCACATTATTATCTCTAAAAGATTGGGAAAGAAGAGTAACCCCTGACCTGAATTATTTTACTGTTTTCATTTGAATAAATTCTTAGAAATTTACTCAGACTGGGGGTGGGGAGGTGGGATTCACCAAAACTAAGTCAGCACCTACTTCTGGCCTTCTGGGCACTCCCTGGAGTCACCTACTTACCAGCAATCTGTTCTTCGGTCAGCTGATCAGCCTACACGGAGAAAGAAAAGATTGCAATTCAGTCCCCGACAGTATGGTTCACACCAACATTGTTTTTCCAATTGTACTTTTAATACTGCACACTTTCAAAAATCAATATTTAAAAAAAAAATTAATCTTTGAAACCTTTAGCTTCGTCATTTACTGAAAGCAATTAGAATAAAGAAAACCGTTTACTGCTACTTCAGAAACAAAGGAGGTGGCAGCATCTGCTGCTTCAGGTTTTCTTTTCTGAGCCTACAGCTTACAGAGCGCGCTCAAGTCCAACTAGGAGGGGTCAGTCCATAATTTGAAAAATGGCACCTCTAGTGGCAAAAGGCCCCACGTGGCACTGGCTGCAGAGGCAGGCTCTGAGAAAGAGCGCCACCTCCTGCATGACAAACGCCGCCGCAGTCCCTGCTTGCATTCAAGAAGGGACCCAGCCTCATGCTGCCACCACCGCAGCCAGCCACCAGGATTGGCCAACACGATCTCGTCCAGGGTCAGCCTTTCAGCGCACCTTGCGCATTGCTGCCTGCGCTCCAGATCTCCAAACTGGCGTTATGTAATGGTATTGGGTTGGATTAACAGGCTTTTAGATCCATTTTATGAGATACAATTAAGTGGAAAAAATAAATACATAGCAATGGGTTACTCCACCAACTTCATTTCCATGTAATAAATACTTTCCAATCATTTGAATTAGGCAGTTATTTGTGAAAAGCCTACCATTTACAGTGGCTAATGGCCTTAGTCAAATTACCCTATGATTCAGAACCCAGACTAGAAGTCTTAAAACTAACCTGTAACAAAAATGCAAAAACTAAGCATACAAAACGATTGCACAATTACTGAGACTATGCCCCTCTCTTTTCTGGAGGGGAGAAACTACCTACTTGCTGGAGACTGCTGACCCTCCCCACCTTAAGGATGACACAAGTAAGAGCTGCTCAGAATAAACACTCTGCTGGAGCTGGTTAATAGCCACGAAGGGTAATTCTCATTTGCAGTTACTTGGTCTCTGCAACAATGAACCTGTGCCTTCAGCGAGCGGAATCTGAGATCTCAAGAAGAGTTAGTATTTTGGTTTTAGTGAAGGACGCCTAATGAAGTCGCTTACAAACTCAGTCCTAACACAGAGCTGATGACACTACGTTCATTCTAACTCTTAAAACGGAAACTTTCACAAAAGGAATCGATGCTCCAGCATATCGATTTTGGGGGAAAAAACTTTTTTCAAATTAAGGCTGGGTCTTCCTTCCTTCCTTTCTACCCCAATCACCTCAAGTTGGTTTTCTTTAAATCATATGGAGAAGACACAATGATTTATGTAACGCCAGGGAGACGTCTGTCTTGTACAACAGGAAACGCTGCCACACCTCGCAAAAAAACTGTCACCTTACTGGGTAGAACAGTCCCACATCAGCAGCCGCCTTCCTCGACGACGACCCCCCAAATCGTCCTGACTTCGAAGGCAAAGGTGCTCCCTAACTCGGCCGGGAGCCATTGTCCCAACTCGCAAAACCAAAAAAAAGCTGCTGGTGATGTCAGCCGTGCCGGCGAGGAAGAAAGGGGGCTGTGGAAAACACACCCCGCGAGGCGCACGGCCGCATCTGGCCATCTAAAAGCCACAGAGAAAGCGGAAACCGTGGAGGATCTCTCTCTGTGGACTGGGAAGTGGCGCGGAGTGTGGGGGAAAGGCCGGGCACGGGCAGGGCAGGGGTGCATGCTCCGAGGGCAGGGGGTGTGGGAGGCGCCGCCCCTCCTCGACCAGCGGTACCTCTCACTCGCACCCCGGGGAACGAGGCGCGCGTGGGGCCAAGAGCGCCCCCCACCTCCCACCCGCTACTGCTCCCCCGCCGCGCCGCCTCCTCCCGGAGCAGAAACTTCGCGTCTCTAATGGAAACCTCGCCAAGCGCCAGCTCCCTCTTCCCCCGCCCCCCCCCGCCCCAATTAGCTCGAGCCGGGCGCCTCCCGCGGGAGGGCCTCCTGTGCTCCGCGGCTCGCGCGCCTGCACTGCTGCATCTGGTGGGGGGCTGCAAAACGGGGAGACCGGAGCCTGGAAACGCCGCGGAGCCCCGCCCGGGCGCAGGACCGCCGGCCGGCGCTTCC